AAATTTTTGTTTCATTTGAGAAGCTGAGAATTGTTTGACATAAGAGAAATTCTTGACATTCTTTAAAAATGACATTGTGTAAATAAAGGACTGTTTAAGGCAGATTCTGTAATACTTCAAGTTAGTTTCCCTTTTTTCTTCCTTCTTTGCTTTTGAAATTGTCTGATAATGTTCTTTTAAACTAAGAGTTGAACTCTTTGCTGCTATTTGAGATACCTGTCCTCTCTAAACACATTTCAGCGTGTCAGAAAATGTTTCAGTCTTTGTGAGCCTACAATTAATTCAGTGCAATTCAGTGTATTTATTTAGTGCCAGGTCACTAGACTGCTGTGTTGTCTCAGGGCACAGTAGCCTACAAGAAACAGCATTTTAAAAAGAACAATAGCTACAATAAAAATAATTATATCATTAGCTTCAAATATACTTCATGTTCATTTGATGGATTTCAAAATAACATAGTCGCTCTGTGGTGCTGAAGCTTGTAAGCCCCTCTGTTGCAGGCATGTCACTGATTCTTGAAACTTTGGCAAAAACATGTCCCAGTACAAAAAGAGCTCATTTCTGTTAGAAATAATAGCATTTTCGTAAATACATTGATCTAGGTTATACAAGGGTCCTTTGCACAAATGTAAGATTGTTTTATTTTTTTTATCTGCTTTTATTTAATGATCATCTGCTGGCATACTGCCCACAAAAGCACTTGTCCTCAGACAGGAGATATTTAGTTCAACTTGATAAAAAAAATAATAATAATAATCATTTAACTGAATCATAGTTTTACCACATGAGTCAATTGTAATGTGTATTAAAATGAACAGACTGTGAATTTTGAYCAATATTTACTATAATTTTATGGTTGCTCAATGTGTCCCACATATTTGTCACCACTGTCATATATTTATAAAAAACTATAAAATCTGGCAACTACAAGGTCAACTAAATTTCTGAGGACCCTATTTTTAWATCTTCAGCTCTACTGCATACTTCAAGATCACTAAAGGGCGGCTGTAGTAGAGTGGTTAGGGGAGTCCTGGAACCGGAAGGTTGCTGGTTCAATCCTCGTCCAGTCAACTCAGTCGTTGTGTCCTTGGGCAAGACACTTTATCCAACTTGCCTACTGATGGTGGTCAGAGGGTCCATTGGCACCTGTGTATGGCAGCCTTACCTCTGTCAGTGTGCTCCAGGGCAGCTGTGGCTACAATTGTAGTTTGCCATCATCAGTGTGTGTGCATGGGTCTGTAGTGTGAAGCACTTTGAGTGTCCTGGATTAATAGAAAGGTGCTTTATAAGTACAGTCCATTTACCATTTAAAGCTCCTGTAAATTTACTATTTTCTCTTAAAGAGCTGATGACACGGTTTAATTCTATGTGATTTTTGGATTAAAATTGAACATGTTAAAATAGATGGTTCTGAGATGTTACAAGTCAAATAGACTTATTTTTGTGTAAATATCCAACAMTTTAAACAGCTCCGCTGAGGAGCTGAATTCAACAGACGCCATGTTGTGACAGAGTGCCAGAAAGCTAAGCGCATAGCTAACAGCAATAACAGCTGTACACTCACGGTGGAAGCGGTTGAACTGTGGTGGAATCACCAGCCTGTTCCAGCTCACAAGAAAGTACTGYTGCTGAGGCCCTCTTTTGCATGTGACTAACCTGTTTGTCCAGGTGGAGGCAGTGCTTATAAGTCTGAGTTCACCTGAACCTCATCAGACTGAAGAAGTCTCTTGGAGGAGAGACGAAACTTTCCACTAAAAAAGAACCCATCCAGAGGACCTACTTTTTTTTTCTTACCTGGATGCATCAGAACCGAATCACGATATTTTTACAAGGTTTAGATTTTGTATAATTATCAGTGTGCATTGCCAATGCAATGCACACTATTGTGATTCGTTTCCCATCCAAGTCATCTCAACTTTGCCATGCTTCTCCTCCTGCATACTTTGTCCTAGAGCTGCCATTGTAATTCATATCTGTAAAGGCCTTGTGCCAAATGATGGCTATGCCTTTTGGTGCCTGTAAAACTTATATTAATATAATATGAATATAAAATGAATATAATAATATTTTTGAAATATTAATGTTTAATAAATTATGATGACAGTCAATGGAGCCTTGTATTGGTCCAATACTGCCCCCTGCTGCATCTACACATTATGGTATTGCACCACAGTTTCATGATATTTAAACTCAGTAGTTCAGTGATTACAATATTAATATGATTGTATTTTGATGTTTTACTGTAATACTGTCTTTATGTTGTCCTATTGCTGTAATATATTCCATTTAAGTGTCAATAATTGCATTGGCAAGGTAATTTTTTTCTGTATACATACAATGCAATCCCTGGGATTGTCCTCTGCCACATCTCCTATAGTCTCATGATGAGCACTGTGGGCTTTCATGCGGGAGATCAGGGTTCAATCCCAGCTATGAACAAACACTTTAATTCAAACCACAAATTTTCAGATTATATTGTCACACCATTACACTCAATGGTTCAGTGTTTACAATAAAAATATGATTTTATTCTCATGCTTTACTATAAAATTGTTTTAATACTGCTCTATTGTTGTAACATTATGCAGTTTAGTGTCAATAATTGTATTGGCAATGTGGCCTCTTTCTGCACACATACAAACCAACCCCTGCCACCACCTTCTGCCACAACTCCACGGGTCTAATGGTCTGTCATGGACTTTCATGTGGGAGATCAGGGTTCAAAACCCGGCTAATGCAACTTTAAGAAAAAATCTCTTCAAACTTCATATTGTCGCACAATTACCTTAATTCTAAACACTTGCTGATGTGACAGGCACAAGCTGGTATAGAAAACACATTTGAACTTGGTCAAAGTTCATTCTGCAAGTGCAATGCTGCAGGCAATGACTTGCTACGTGGCAATGCACACTTGTTTTTACATCGTAAAAACCCATGTCTAGTTTTAATTGCATTTGGATAGGTTAGTTCACGCACAAACTTTAAAGAAACCTCTTGGTGTTTATTTAGGAGGATACGTTTCATTTGACTCCTGGCTCGATCTGACGTTTCAGCCTTAAAATATTTCTTTAAAACGTTGTGTGTTGCAGAAGTTCTCCAGCAGAAGTGTGACGCCTCTGTAGCTCCAGGCTCTTCCTCTGGGCTTAGTGGTGAATTCAACCTGAACCTCATTACCATGGTTCATATTTTAAAAGTAAATGTTCTTCATTTTTAAGAGTAATGATGGAGAGATGCAAACTTTATTTTGAAATCAGACATGTATTTGTGATTCTGGTTGTTACATTGATTGACCTGGGAGAATCATTCAGTAATTAAATTCACACTGTGCTCCTCTACCGGTCTTAACATAACATCTCCAACCTGCAGGAAAAAGATGGCGACAGTAAAACTGAAAGCTTCAGACATGATGACATAAACAGAAGGAAAAAAAAAACAGGCCAATACCTGCACATGAGGAGGAGCACTCAGGACATAGATGACAGCATTGGCAACGTCTATGGCTTCCAGAGCCTGATGGAGAGAAACATGCCCAGTTTTAGTCCTCATTTGGATAATTACTAATAAAAAAACATAAAATACAGTTGTAAAGAAATCTGTGATCAATAAATTGAAGTCTAAACAAAATAGCAGAAAACCAGTTGATTCRAAAAAGGTTTTATTCTTGTCTCAGCTCCAGCAGCTCCAGCAGCAGTCAGCAGGCCTCAAAAAACCTTGGGCCTTATCAGAACAGCAACAATAACAGACAGATGATCTCTGTGCTGCACACAGACTGATGAATAATGATAAATCAACTTCTTAACATCTCTGACTTCCTGCTCAGACAGCTGGAGTTGGTACTTTTCATGTCAGACGTTAGCCTGGCCCTTGCCTTCCTACGCAGCTCTGCTCAATTCTAGTTTCCCTTCTCTGCTCCGTCTGGCATTTCTCCCATAGAGAAGGATTTCACTGGCAGATTTTTAGCCGAACCAATCAGAGAACAGAACGTCAATTTTCTGAGCAGTGTCTGCTTGTAGTTTATTTCACCTGGGCCAATCAGCAAACAGAAGACTG